CTGTCTGGGAGGTGTCATATGCATTATGCATTGGATCGTCTAAGTGCCTCTCACTGGATTTCTGTGTATGCACCAGTCTGGAAAGTTCAGTCCTTATCTTCCCACTGACTTCACTAAGGATTCAGAATGGGCAGATTAATCTGCTGAAGTGCCTTGAAGGGCCCTCCAAAGATAAAGTTATTCCAGAAACATTGAAGTAATCTAATAATGTTTCTTCCCCAAACGCTATCCTCAGTTCCTGTCCCAGAGAATAAAGTAGCAGTTTGTGGTGGGTTGACCTTGGCTGGTGGCCAGAGTCCCACCCAGGTGCACTCTCGCTCTCCCTCCTCAGCAGGGCTGGAAGAGAAAATACAATAAAGAAGCTTATGGGTCAAGGTAAGGACAGGGAGATTGCTCACCCATCGTGGACAAAACAGACTCAACTTGGCGAAGATGAATTTGTTGCCCATTCAAAATAGGGTAGGATGGTGACAAACAAAGACAAAACTAAAAACACTTTCCCCCACCCTTTCTTCTTCCCAGCCTCATCTTCACTCCTTTGAGGGGCACAGGGGGATGAGGGTTGTGGTGAGTTCGGAAGAGCTCCAATCTGCTGCTCCTTCCTCTGTAGGGCTGCAGGGGCACAGCCTGCCTCACCATGGTCTTCACCACGGGCTGCAGGGGAATCTCTGCTCCAGTGCCTGGAGCACATCCTACCCTCCTTCACCGACCTTGGTGTCTGCAGGGTTGTTTCTCTCCCTTTTTTTCTTACCCTTCCCTCTCACAACTCCTGCACAGTGTTTTTTACCCTTTAAGTATGTTATCACATCGGTGCCACCAGCATTGCTGGTGGGCTCAGCTGTGGTGGTGGGTCTGTTTTGGAGCTGGCAGGGGCTGGCAGTGTCCATCTTCTCATAGAGGCCACTCCTGCAGCCTCCCCCTGCTGCCAAAACCTTGCCATGTAAACCCATTATGCTATTCAATTGTTCAGTGAAACCTTTTCTCATTCTTAAACAAAAATTTAGATTTTGTTCTGTGTTTGCTGTGTGTTAGGAATATCTACAAAGTTAATTAAGTGTGAATTCTTTCAAAACACTGATACCTCTGGGTGGTAGTCAGTGAAATTCTTGTATGCTGAGGCACATTACGAAGTCTTTCAGCTGGTATATATGTCTGTAAAACTGGGAAGTTTTTAGAAAGTACTGATGTGGCCTTGTATGTGAAAGCTGTATGACTTTGGGATAAATATTAAAGGAATTTTGTATATAAATATAGCAGAAGTTCCTTATTTTAAAGAGAAATAGCTTAGAAATGGGCATGGAATTATTTGTATATAGTTAGAATGACACAGTATAGATTTCCAATTATAATTTAATTGGGCTAAATATATGTATATAGTGCTGGACTGTATATGGAGTAGTTACAATTCGAGAAAGCTTTCTGGAGAAATGAAATGTGTGTGTCTTATTTCAGTCCTTTCTCAGAAAAAATATGTGTCTCTGCTGTATTTGCTAGTCCTTGATTAATTCATTATTGATCCTTTTTTTTTTAATATTTGAGAAATATTCTTGAGATATCTTTGTATATCGCTTTTTTTTCCAGCAGCATTTCCTGAAACACCTGCAGATGGCTCTGCTCAGCCACATGTGTCTTGGGCCATGATACTTTCACAGCCCCCAAAGAAAATTTTGTCATCACCAGCATCTGAAGATCTTTCCAGAAGCAAAGGGAAGCAGGATGGTGAAGCAAAGGTACTAGAGAATTGTCTGCTCTAAGCTAATTTCTGTCACTGTTTGATTGCGTCTCTTGATGTGAGACATTGCTGGTTTTTTGCTAGGGTCTGTACAGTGTCCACTTCTAATGTAGCTTTTAAGAAGTAATATAAAGTTACCTTGTCCCTACTAAATTTTTCTTCTATTGTAGTGGAAAAGAATTAACAAAATGTCAAAAAGACAGTGCTACTCCAGCAACATGAATTTCCAAAATAGCTGATTTGAATACATTACTTTTAGGTTGGATTTTTTTCAAATTCCTGACCCTCAGAATGAGATGTGAAACGTGGAACTCTTGTCTTATTTAGGTGGATATTTCCTATTGAAATCTCAGTACTCCCGATAGGTTCTGGTAACTGTGCAGTGTGCTTCAAATGAAGAGTTCTTGCAGTAGCTCTGAATTTCTAAGAGATCTTGAATTTTCCTTGTCCACTTAATGTCCTAGCCTGGATTGATTAAGATACTCTTTAGTTGTGTAAGTGTGGCCACTTGCATTTATTCTGGTAGGTGGTATTGAAATAAATCAATTTCTAATGGTTACACCTCCTGACTTTTTCCAGCAGTCAGAAACAAAAAATGATGCTAGTGAAACTGAGCCTGAGGAAGGGTCAGAAAAGAAGAAAAAAAAGAAGAAGAAGAAGAAAAAACTAAAATCACCCAGTGACACAGAGAAACCTCAAAATGAACCTACAATACAGGAACCACCAAGGATTGAGGTACAGTGAAGAGGGTTTTTTATTGTTCTTTTAAGTGTTATGAGTGTATTGGAAGACCAGATGTTAACACAGCTTTGTACAAAGTCAGGTTCAAATCCCACTTGTAGAGGATATTGGTTCAGGTCCATTTCAGTTGAGAAGTTTGTCAGAAGTTACTGGTAGGGAACAGTTGTGCCTTTTGACACCACATATTCAGTGAGCACAGAGGAGTGCAGAAGAGACTTCGGAGCAAATTTGGAATGATGCATCTGAGAGTCTGGATGTTAACAGATAATAAAAGTCAAATTTCCTAAATTAAAAATATTCTGTAGTAACTGTTGCAGAAAGCAAAGTGCCCAAGGGATGGGGAATATACTGGGTACTGTAGTGTGCAACAATTTTAAAGAATGTGGTACTGGTATTACAATTCCACCCATCTCACGTCTGGAAGCAATTTCTGTGGAACACAGTTGTCACTGCTCACATTTCCTGATTGCTAATTCCAGGGGTTTTTCAAATTCATATAGTTGTAATGTGCATATTAGTATTTTGATACTTTTGTGTATCAGTATCATGAAGGCTTTAGAGACTCCCACATTAGAGAATTGTTGTATGGTCTGTGGTTTTAATAGCGCTTCATTGAAAGCCCAATATTGCTAAGCACTATGTACATGTGTTGATTTACATGTTTGATCTAGTGTACATAATGTTCAGTCTGTGAAATGACAGCATAAAGAAGCCTTCCTGGCTGTCTTCTGTTCTGTACATTTTAACATGGAACATAGAGCAGAACTGTGGCTACACGTTCTTTTCATTATGTGGTTCATTGTCCTCGAACAGCGCAAGAAATTACTGTTTACAGGCCTCCTTGTTAGAGAATTATGTGTAGTATCAAAGATCTGCAGGTTCTTTCCCTCATGAGAACATCCCCATTTTTACTATATGCTAAATGTCTGACCTGTGAATAACTTACCATCTAAGCAGAAAGAGAATGGCAGGAGTCATGGAAAATAGTAGGAAGGTAATGGGACTACTGAAGACAAAAATGGAAAAAAAATGGCATAGAATCGTGGAACAGGACATATGCATTGCACTGAAATCTGTGATGTGGATGTAGCATCTGTTGTGGCAGTGGGGGACAGCTTTCAGACCCTCCTGGTTTGCTGGGAATGATTGTGTGAGCATCCATTTGAAAAATGGGAGATGCTTCTGTGATGCTCTTGAAGTAGAAGAGCATGGAAGGATCATACCTACAGAACTTCTGGGCACCCAGGAGATTTAAGAAGGTTCTGCTATGTGCAACAGCTCACCAGAGCAATATATTGGAGTGCTTGCTAGTTTTATAAAAGTCACTCATTTACAGACACTGTTAATGAGTATAAATGGATGCATTTGGGGAAAAGTAATCCTGTTTTTCCATACACAGTGGTAGGCCCTAAGCTAGGTATTTTTCCTGAGGGGAAGAAAAAATTTAAGCTGCTATTGATAATCAGGTCACTGCTGGTAGTACTGGTCAAACATGCAAACAGTGCTGGGAATTGTTAGGGATATAGAGAAAAAAATGGATTATGACAATACATAAATCCAGGACGTGTCCAATCTAAATATAGTGTGGATTTTGTTTTCTTGTGTTTCCCCCACTCCTTAAAAAAATTTACATACTTGAACTAAAAAAAGATAGACAAAAGGCTCCAAAAATAATCAAAGGTATGAAGCAATGTCTGTGGGAGGCAAGACTGAATAAACTAGGACTTCTCAGTCTGTAAAATAGGTGGCTAAGTGGGAATCAGAAGCGACAAGGAAATAAAAAGGAAATTATTTGATCTTCCTCCTAATTTTGTTTGATGTCCTCTGATTCTTATAGGTGACGAATTAAGAGCAAATATAAGGAGGTGTGACGTCACGCTGAGTGCTAGATTTTAATTATTCCTTTTGCTACAGCATGTTGCAAATGCCAGAAATTTCTTTGAATTCAAGGAGTGATTGGACAGACTGAAATAAAAATTTATTCTAGTGAGGGCTATTTAAATGTAAAGGTACCACGTCTGGTTCAGAAAGTCCCTAAGCTGGAAGAGTGTGTTTGTGAAACACTTTTCATTTTCTTGCAGATGTCTTTTGGCATACTTCCAAGCTTCTTTAAAAATAGTTCATTGGGTGAGGTGTGTCTGTCCTTATGCTAGAGCTTCCTAGCTTGGGCTGTTTAAATGAAGTCTTTTGGGCTGCAGAAGAAGTGTTGGTGTGTTCAGTAGTATTGGATCACAGCTAAAAAGGCCTCTCAAAGTGGAAGGAGGAGCAATTGAATGAAAACCAAGCTGGTGGATGAGGATCATTGTGATTGAGGTAGTGGATATAAGGTGACCAGTGTAGAGTGGAGTCTGGATAATGTATCGTCTGCTAATAAAATTTGTTCTTGTGTCTAAGCCTACATAATCACTTGAGTGATTTATCTGTTTATTTTCATACTGTAGTCAAGAGTTACTACCCTTTTGCCTGCCCTTTTTGCTCTTCACCACTCATCCATTTAAGGCAGAATTGCACAGCTGGAGACTGTACTGGAAGAAGAGGGAAGCTGTTTGCAAGACTGTTAAATGATCTGAAAAACACTCCTTTAGGAGCTGTTTACCTCTAATTATTTGTATCAACTGACAGCAATAGCAAGGTGCTGTTGGAAGCATTTCTCCTGTAAGTTCTTTCAGCCCTATGTTAGCTACCGTATAGATGACTTAACAATTGTAGTGCTGATTATAGTTGGTGGCACTGCACTTGGCTTCTGAATTTTTGTAAAGTGAAACAAATTATGATGAATGTTTGATAAGCAGGGAGAAAATAATTTGAATGTAGGAAAACTCAGTTTTGAGAATATGGACTTGATAGTTCTTATAAAATCACCTTCTGATTTATTTGTTTAGGATGCTGAGGAGTTCCCTGATCTGGCAGCTGCTTCTGATAGGAGAAACAGACTAGGATCTCAGAAGTCATCATTTACTCCTGCTGTCAGAAAGCAGCCTGAAGTAAGTAATCTTAACAGCATTGTGTGAATGTTAAGAAAATAAGCAGGAAAAGACTGCAAGTTTTAAATGAGACTAAAGGTGAAATTCTTTTGACTAAATGTAGGTGCTTATGGTGTGGGCCTCTGCCCATGGCAAACCCCTTAGGTACTCTGTGGACAGTGATGAGCTAATCACTGTATTCAGTAGATTCATATCATTCCAAAGGAGATACCTTTTTGGTCTCTGAACTGCTGCCTAAACTCTGGGCTCCTAATTCCGGTATAGGCACCTCTGTTGCGGACAGTTGAAGTTAGTTGAGATGAATTCTGTTTATGTAGTTTTATTTTCCTACAGGTAGTGTTCTGGTTTAATTTTGCATTTCATAAAAATAATACTAAGACTCTGAATTTCTGCCTTTGCTGTTTGTTCATATAATCAAATTTCAAGGGTATCTGAGCAGTGTAACACTTTGTTCTCAAGCTGTGCAAGGGTAAGAATTTGAGTCTAACATCAATTATAAATTCATGCTTTTTTTTTTAATGAGTGAAATGAATCCCAAGGATTAATTTGGAAATTAATTCAATATGGGAATGAATCCCAAACATAAATTACAAGGATTGGAAATATGATTGCTCTCACAAAGCAAATAACATAAATAATAAAGGTGCAATTCCAGGCTTCTGTTTCTTTGAAACTAGTTTTGCTGCTAGGAATTTTTGTCCTTTGTTTTGTTTCACTGTGTATATTAGTGGTTTAAAAAAAAAAACAAAACAAAGCCAGAACCAAACAAAAAACCAAACCCTTTGTTTGCTTTGAGGCAGTAAATTGCATTGACAGGAAGGAATGAGCAGGAAAAGGCACAGTAATTGCTCAAACCAGATTTGTTACAAAGTGCTATACAGACTTGCACCTCAAATGAGAGAAACCTTTTAGCTTTGTAGGCGTAAGTGGGATATAACCTCTCAAAACTTACCTAAGTTGTAGAGACGTGATCATTAAGTCACTCATACTCCTCTGTAACAAATATTTGAAGGTGAAGCTGCCTTGCTGTTTTTTTCTTCCAAATCTGAAAAAAAGAAGGAAATCATGAGTCTGATGAAGTAATATGGCAGCCAATAAATAATGGCACTTTTAGAAGGCCACAATAAGGTCATCCTAAAGCCTTCTCTTCTCCAGGCTGAACAACCCCAACTCTCTCCGCCTTTCATCACAAGAGAGGTGTTCCAGCCCTCTGACCCTTTTTGAGGGCCTCCTCTGGACCTGCTCGAACAGGTCCATGTCTTTCTTGTGCTGGGGACCCCAGAACTGCACACAGAACTGCAGGTGGGGTCTCATGAGAGCAGAGGGGCAGAATCGCCTCCCTCAACCTGCTGGCCACGCTTCTTTTTACACACCCCAGGACAGAATTGGCTTTCCAGGCTGCAAGCGCACGTTGCTGGCTCATGTCCAGTTCTTCATCCACCAGTATCATCAAGTCCTTCTCTGCAAGGCTGCTTTCAATGCCTTCATCCCCCAGTCTTTTTGATACTGGTGGTTGCCTCAGCCCAGGTCCAGAACCTTGCACTTGGCCTTGTTGAACTTCATGAGGTTCACCCAGGCCTACTCCTCAAGCCTGTCAAGGTTGCTCTGGATAGCATCCCTTTTCTGAAGCATATCAACTGTACTATTCAGCTTGGTGTCATTCACAAACTTGCTGAGGGTGCACTCAATCCCACTGTCTACATTCCATTTGAATTCAATATCATCTTCACTCCACCCTTTTCCATGTGTCTTTAAATATTTTCTCTTCCTCCTTGTCACCTTTTGTCTCTAAATTTCAAAGATCCATCTCCCTGAAGAGCCTTGGGATAATCGGTCTCCCACACTGGATGGAACTTCCAAGGTGGATGGACTGTCAGGGAAGCAAGCTTCATCTTCTATATTAGAAAGAAAGAAAATGCAGGTAAATGAATTCGTGTTTGAAAACAAGTTTACAACTGAAAATTACAAATGAAATTAGTGTATTTAAATATAAGACTAAGTCCAAGCGCATCTGCAGTTGTTTTCATAGTTTGTCATTCATACTTTGAGATAAGTGACAAGATCCTCTTGATTAGAAGCACTCAATGGTACTAATTGCTAGCCCACAGTTTGTGATGCCGTGTATAGGGAAAAATACTAGCTTTTCATTAATGTCTGCGAGTTTCAGATATCAGGAATTTTTCCTTCACCAGTCTTATTTGATCATGGCATAAATCCAGTCCAAACTGATTGTCTGAAGGAGTTGGGAACCTCTTGAAAGTGGCTCTGCTAGATTAGGACAAGGAGGCAAGGAGATCTACTTAGCTTGGGGCAAGGAGAAGAAATACAGAGCAACACTGAAGTCACTAGTTCCATGCTGGTGATTAGGCTCTGATGCAAGATGAGATCCTAGGCTCAGAAGGAGCAGGTCACATTCCTTAACGCTATTGTAACAGAAGCTATAATGAATTGATCCTCCAGGATAAGTCTTTTAAAAGTATAAAATCTGTGAGTCATTTTCTTAGCATGTTCTGCCATTGTAGTTTGCCCTTTTGTAGTCTTTGCTAGACTATCCATTTGTAATCTTTTTATATTCTGAATCATTAAATGTGGTGCCAAGTTTGGGAAACCATTTTTGCCTTCTCTTCAAAGCAGACAGAAAGATTGCTGCTTATGAGGAGATGGTGCTTAAAGATGGTGACCTCCCTTTGTAATAAGGCATTGAAGATAATGATATATGTGTATTGCAGTCACATACCCTGGAAGATTCAGAGAGTAGTTTTTCTGTACTTTTAACAAAACTTTCAATTCTGGTAAGCCTCTTTTCTTTTTCAAAGATAGGTGGCAGTCTGACTGAAGTGGGAGCCTGGCATAAAGTACCTCTGCTATTAAAGACTTTATACTTTTATGCTTTACTCCAGTAGCTATTCAAAAGTTATTCAAACTGTTTCTGATTTTTTTATTTTTCGTATTAAAGTTGATGTGTATTTAAAGATCAAAATACTTTCACTGAATGAAGTTAAAAATCAAAAGTATCGTGGATGAAGATGAGTGTATTACACACCATACAAAATACAGTCTTTACATTCTGAAATGGAGAGTATTACTAACTGGTACTGAACTTGTTCAGGAATCATCCAGGAGCAGTGGTAAGAAGAGTCAGATTCCTGTGCAGTTGGATTTAGGTGGCATGCTGGCAGTCTTGGAGCAGAAGCAGCAAACAGAGAAGTCAAAACAATCTTCTAAACCTGTGGTGTTTTCAGGTATTGGTTACAATGAAATTTCTTTCAACTTGAGTTGGTTTTAAGTATTCAAATGTTAAATATAGCCTGATTCCTGATCTGTAATGATCTGTGAATATGCAGGCAGGAGCACAGTTCACAAGATAGAAGAGAAAATGAAGGTTCTTTAAAAAAAAAAAAATCTGAATTGTTTGGAGGAAGCCTTGGGGAAAGAAAAATCTTCAGGACAATGATTTGTAAAAGAATACCTTATTTAAATATGAAAGGTGATTGAAATTCAGCTTTGACGAAAATACTAATGTTTGTGGAGGTTTTTGCTTTGTCTTAAATAACTGTGTTACTGTTGTGATGTGAACCTGCAGGAAGGGGCTACACAGTAACAAAGGCTTTCTTAAACTCTTCTGCTGCTAGAAATCCTAGAGCTGTAACTTGAGTGAAAAAGCTCCTTTGCAAACACAGGGGTTATATGAGAGTCAGTCAGCCCAACCCAAAGGATGAGCTCTGCCATACCTGATAATTGTGAAATGACTGCTGTTAACAAAATGTTAGGTGTTGGTGATGGAGAGAATCTTCCAGACCTTGTGGATGCCTAACCAGGAAGCAGAAAAAAAAGCTCAGTGTCTTTTTCATTGTAGGTCAAAATTTAGTCTTGGCTATGTTAGTGCAGTGTATTTTGCAAAAGGAAACATGATGTTTGCTAGAATTTGATGATGACAAAATTTCTCTCCTTATTTCAGTAAAGAATTTCTTCAAAATTTTTTTCTGAAAGAGAGCTAACCATGAAAAAATAAATCTCATGATGTTTAATATGATAGCTGAGCTTTTAAATAAAAAGCTCGAAGTACCAAGCATCGATGAGATTTTTGCTTTACTGAGACAACTTGTAAGATGCTTTTTAAATTTTTTTTCTGCAATTGATCTTTTTTTTTTCATTTGGGTCAGTCAAACTCAATGCTGCAGAGGTGCTAATAACCAGTTTTGTTTATGTAAAATTATACAGTGCATGGATTGGTGAGTAGATGGTGGAGCACAAAAGTATGGGTCACAATACTTGCTTTTTGATACTAAATTGCCTGTGTCTGAATCTGCTGCAGAAGAGAAATTGGTATGTCATGTTTGTATCCTAGAAGTATAAGGCAGGTGTTACCTCAGCTTTATACTTTCTTTTTAACGTTCAGTGCAGCCATTAAATTGGTGTGTACCAAAATGTAACTTCAGTTTGTGAAGTGGTATTGTGCTGACCTCTGTAACCAGAAGAGAAGCACAGTGAAGAAGGGCAAGGAGTATGCAGACAAAGTTATTCCATTCCACTTGGTATTTAATTTGGTAAATAATGTACAGATGGAACAGCATAGTAAAGCAGTAATTATTTGAATTTAAATTACATTTTGGAAATGCTTCAATCGTGCAAAATGACACAAACTGTTAAAGCCATCAAGTTCAGGAACATGAGAACTCTGTGAATTTGAAATGAAGAGGTGATATACACAGTGAAGGAAATACCATGTGTCTGCAGGATGTATACTTCTGTATTGCTTCAAATCCAGCTTCAATTTCTGTAGCCACCTATGCTAACATACTGCACAATGTTTTTGGCAGCGTTCTCAATTTGCCTTTGTTACACAGAAAAGAAAAGCTGTTGTGTAGCAGTCTTATGACATAAAGTCTTTATGCTGATAGTACTGTATGTGGTGTTGGAGGATCAGCATACAAATACTTCGGAAGCAGTAAATGAAGATGGCTTAAGACAAGCTGCTGGAAGCTTTGGGTGTTTTTTAGGGGAGAGGTTGCCTGAGGCACAAAGGTGTCAAGCTCATTCCACTGACACTTATGTCATCCTTGTCATTGACTTGCTAATGTAACCTGGTTTATATTGCAGGTAACTGAAGTTTGACAAAGTGCTCTCACATAATACAGCAATTCCTACTGATAGTGAGTTGAAAAGAGAGAGTAGTTTTTAAGGTGTGAGGTCACGGTTTGGAAGGTCCAGTGGTTTGGCCAGTCATTTAAAGCTTCTGTGCTCTAAACCCTCTGAAAAATGCAAGTAGAGTAGACATCTCCTGAGAGTTGTGCTGGTTAAGCAAAGGAGGCTTAGCTGTAGCTTTGCATTACTCATTACTCATCTGCAAATGAACTTCATCCAACTTCACTAAGGCGTAACAAATGGTAGGAGTAAGTGCTCCAAATTATTTACGGCAGTAAATCTAAAGTCTGTAATACTGCAACTCAGTATTTATCTTAATGCAGTACAGAATCTGTGGAGGAGGAAATGCCATTACCATGAAACGTGGAGATTCCTGAAGGTTTACAAAGCTGGCACGGCGTGGTGTTGAAGGTAGCTTGGAGTGCAGTGTTTTGCCCAATTGTGCTTTTGAGAGTTCAGGGACAGAGCTTGTGATTCTAGTTGTGTAATGAAAGTAGAGGACATGTCAGTCTTTTGGGAGGAGTATCTTTATTAAATAACATTGTTTAATGACACAGGATTGCCTACAAATATTCTTAATAAGCAACACAACACAAACATAAATATGTGTATACTAGTCCTAATCCAGTCATTAAACTTGCATTGGATTCTAGTTTAGGTGTTTCTTATAGTTGTCTGATGCAGACTTTTTTTTTATCTCAGTTGGTGGTGCCATACCATTGCTTTCTAAAGAACCTGCTACAGCCACAAAAAGTCACCGGTTAAACCAAGGAAAGATGCCTCATAACCCTTTGGATTCCAGCGCTCCTTTGGTAAAGAAAGGGAAACAGAGAGAAGTCCCTAAAGCAAAGAGACCAACACCTCTTAAAAAGGTGCTCATATTTTTACCTTAAATAGTACAATGTAGGCTACTGTAACTTCAGTATTACTCTGTGAGTCTGTTAAACCTTCTGGTATGGAGATCTGCATCACAGTATCCACTTGTCTAAACTCAATTTTAGCTTTCCTTGGTTTAAAAAAGGGGAGGGGGGCAGGAGAGAAGAGGGGAGTCTTGCTAAATAGCATATACAAATTCCTCCAAAATACATTTTCTCACTTAAATCACTTGATAGCTGAAGAAGTGCCACTAAAAAGTGTCCACACATCATTGGTACAGGGGGACATCTAAAGAAATCTTATTTCGTTTGGACAAGATATGCTTATTTGCAGGACTGGGGAGAATGGATCAAACAAAGGTAGTATTTAATGTTTCTGTGCTCTTCCAAGCCAGAACCTCAGCTGATTCTGCAGCAACTAGTGTTAAATCCACCTGGCAATTTCTCTTGTATTGTCTCTCTTTGCCCATTCACATTGCTTCCTGTTATGTCTTCTGTACAAAGGATTTTGAGATACCACTCCATCTCTAGGTCACTTCTTGGTCTAGAACAATTCTTACAGAGCTGGTGAAGGTAGTTTGGTGGTTATTCTGTGCTGCTTAAATGAATTTGAGAACTGTACAATATAAACAACATATACAACAGACTCTGGGGGCTGATAATTACTGTGTCTTCTGGCTGTTCTATCTTCATGCAGTCGATTTTTCTGAAGTAGGTTTGAGAAGACAAAGATTGCTTTGTCTGTGTAATATCTGTGTTCTGAGTATGGTAGCTTATTTTTGTTCTTTGTTCATCTTCGACAAATGGAAATGGAGAAATTTACTTTTGCAGTTAGATTCTGTGGTGTATTTGGGTAGAATAGCTAAGGTAGTGGTCATATATATAATAACTGCTTCTTAGCAGCTATGAAAGCAGAGAATGAAGATGAGTTTCAGGAAACTGATAATTGCTTTTACCTACGGTAGCATCTCTGGATCCAGCATAGGTGCTACTTTCCTTCCTTCCTTCCATGTAGCATACAGCTTAGCTATCCGTGCTAATTTCTTCTCTTTTTCTTCAACCAGCAAATTCAGAGAAGGCGATCTATTAGACTGACTCAAGATTTTTAACGGGGGAATATGGGGAAGAGTAACTGTGTGTGTATATATATAGAGAGAGAGATATGTGCATGAGCGTTTGGCTGAATTGATACAAATTGACAGTCTGAAGAAGAAAGGTAAAGAGGGAGACTTTTTCACCTGCTTCTCTGCATTGAAACAATTCATTGCTTTAACCTCGGTTCTCCTCTTGCAGTTGATTCCTAGTAATTATTTTCTCCACCCGGACACTGATAATCAAGGAAAAAGTCCTTTTCTGTGTAGATTTAGGGAATATCTTTCCTTCTTTTTATGTGCAAATTAAAAAAAAGAACAAATGTTGTAAACTTTGAATGATAGTGCCAAACTTTTTTATGAATGGTCTGTATGTAAACACTTGGTAAGAGAAACTGCTTTGTTATCTATATGACATTGAATTGATTTGGGGCTTATAATTATGTTTTTTAGATTATTCTGAAAGAAAGAGAACAACGAAAACAGCAACACCTGTTAGAACAGAGAGCAGTGCCAAAAGATGAAGATAATACTTGTCAGTCTGCAGAAAATATTACTGAAGATGGAACACTTGTACAGGATAGTCAAGCAGGTATCTTTCAAGAGGCAGCTATAATACAGTATGTAGATAAAGATTTTAGAGTGAGCACGTTTTGTACTTTCAAAAATGTGTACCAAATACTGCTAAGTGAAAACTGTAACATCAGAATTTTCTAAGATTCAGCTTGAGCTTATCTAGAGTTTAAAGTGTGCCAAAGGTGATAGTCAATGTAGTTGAGTAATTGGGATTCTGATTACTGTTCCACACTTCTATGCCTGTTGGATTTATTATATGTCGTGAGAGTCTCTGCATATCTCTGGCAGTCTGTTTAAAAAGAGGTACAATAATAAAAACTAAGAGATAAAACATGTATGACCTGTTCCTCTACTACCACAGACTTTTGTAATACTGAAGTAATGAGTCTTCCAGAGATACTTGAGAAGTTAATTTCTTCACAATGCTTTATGGTCTGTGTTTTCATTGAAATATCTTTATTTACATGATAGCTGTTCCTGTAATGCAAGTTGCTGAAGGGTTTACAGAGAACACAGGGATGCAGGTGTCTACAGAAGGTTCTATGACTTCAAAGCAGTTAACCTCCAGTCTTCCAAAAATCCATAGTAGGAATTTTAGAGAGTAAGTATTGATTGTATTGATGTCTGTTTTTCCATAGTACCACCAATATGGCATTTCTCAAACAAGATACTTCAGTTGCATTCTGTGTGGCATTAATTGGAGTTTAGACTGAAGGTTATAAATTTTTTTTGTTTTTTCTGTAAGCTGACACACAAACGAAGAAATGCTATCCAGAGAAATAGTCTGTACATTGCTGTAATTCTCACTTCAAAATGCATGTTCCTTGAAGAAAAAAAAAAAGATCAGAAATTCATTAGAGACTAAGGAAGGAAAAGGAGCTGCTGTTAAAGTATAAGCACCTTATTTTAAATAAATGGAGTACCAGCTTAATATTTAAGAAAAAGTGTAGCTGTTGTGGTTTAACCCCAGCTGGCAACTAAGCGCCACACAAACGCTTGCTCACTTGCCCCCTGTGGGAAGTGGGAGAGAATCGGAGGAGTAAAAGTGAGAAAACTTGTGGGTTGAGAGAAAGAGAGTTTAATAGGTAAAGCAAAAGTCGCGTGCACAAGCAAAGCAAAGCAAGGAATTTATTCATTACTTCCCATTGACAGGCAGGTCTTCAGTCATCTCCAGGAAGGCAGGGCTCCATCATGCGTAACGGTTACTTGGGAAGACAAACGCCATCACTCCGAATGTGCCCCCCCCCCCCCCCCTTTTTCCCCCCACTTTATATTCTAGGCC